CAGAGAAAAAGCACACAAATTGGCATGATTCGATAGATCGCTGGGTGAGAGTGGGTAGGGGGGGAAAACAAACACGTTAGGGTCTTAGGACTTGCTTTTAGGACTCTGTCTATATTTTCTTCAGTGACTAATAAACATAAAATTGTCCAACTCTTGCACTGATGACCAGCACATGGATTGCCCGAGGTATCTTAAAAGAAACTGTGGCAGAGCCACACAGAGAAACCAGTTCTTCTGGATTGCTGTGGCTGGGTGCTAGCCCCAAGACATGAACTTTTCTTTACAGAAAAAGATTAACAGATTTTTTTTTTTGTCCTATACATATCCTATAAAAATAGAAGTATTTGTTTTCTTCTTTTTTTCCAGCCATCAATAATTCTTTTGAGCAAAAGCTGATACAGAGTTCTAAAACGCATGCCAAAGGAGCGATGTACAGTACTTTGAAGCCAAAACGTGCCAGCTGCAGCCCTCTTCTAACCCTAGGCCAGTCGTTTCAACTTTCTCCCTTCCCACCTCCAAAAATGTAATTCAGATTTTCAAAACCAGCGATTCTTGTCTTACTGACAAGTGGGGCCCCCACTTTTAATTCCTATTTTTCTGCATTTTCCACCCTCAGTCTTTGTTTCTTCCTCCTCTGTCACCTGATACCACTCACTTTCAAAGAAGTTATTTAGCTGTTCTTTGTTATCATCCCACTCAGCTTTACTAGAATTTCTGAGAAAATAAAGACAAACAGGCAAGCTGGATTAAAATCGCTGTTACTGGAAAACCATTGCACTCTTATTTCTGAAGATCCTTCCCATGCTCATTCACAAAAAACTGCAGCACAGGAAGCACCAAGGCAGCTGTTGCACGTTTTCCTTCCAGCAGAGACCAAAGCAAGACACGACAGAACTGTAGGCTACAACAGTTCATACTGACTAGTAGATGTCCTTCGTCAGGAGAATCTCAAAGCTCGAATCCCGTGATTCAAGGGGAAAAAAAGTCAGCAAAGAAGGTACGTGTCATTAATGGCACATACCTGGCATTGAGGCCACCTCAGCCATCAATTTGCAGCGAGACATTTGCCTAAGAACTGTTTTCTCTATTTATAAGAGCAGTATTTATGTACATTAACATTTCTAGGGTAGAGAGGACAAGGTGCTGTGCAAGAGCTACTGAGCACAACACAAAGATAAACAAAGCTTCACACGGGCAAAACAAAACTGTGCAGAATGGAATCCGGCCAATGTCATTAAAACTTAATGCCTACTTAACAGACAAATTGCAGACCTGCCAACGGATTGCCACGTGTTACCCAGCTGAATGCTTGTCAAAGTAACCAGCTCTGAAGATTTTGTGTTCAAGCAAGTATTTCAGGACATGTATGGAACCGTTTGTTTGGTTTTTTTTCCAAGAGATGAAATAGCTTTGATCCGGTTACTGGAGTAACAGGCATTCAAAGACATCCCCCATCTTCTGTCTAAAGAAAAGACACTAAACCAGCTGTTAGACAATATATGTTGTTTTTCTTTTAATAAGTCCTTTACATACAGCAAGCATTCCTGATTTCAGAAACTTGAATCATGTAGGGGGCCCACTGGCTCAAGCAATCTGCATCCTACAGGCTCTTTTCACTGTTGTGTGTCTGAAATAAACACCACGTTAATTACAATTAAATTACTGTCACGAATGTTACCTCTAAAGTATCTTTATTCAAATTTCTAAAGTTAAGCTTTCTGCAACTTCCCTAACTTTCAGTTTGTTGCCAGAGGAAGAGTTTAAGCTATGCAATGCAGATTGGGCAATGTGTCTTTTTATGAAAATGCATTCTATATAACACATCCTTCCTGTTATTACTTCCGATGGAAAACACAGAAAGCAGGCTCGACAGAACGTTGAACTATTTTATTGAGGCTTTTTTCATGCCACATCTCATGTTTAGCTAGCTGACCTAACTACCATGATTCCAAACTTGATGGTAGACATAAAATCCTATAAAAATTATTCAGAACCCAGTTTCTGTACATACAGTATTCGTAATTGAACTCCATTACATCAGCCTCTTCCACAGCTGAACAGATCATCTCCTGCTAAGAACCTCACTCTTGTCAAGAAATGCCGCTCTCCTTAATGACAATGGGGTATCCAAATGTCAGACTTGCATACAGTATGGTAAACAGTCTCTTTATTAAGGGGTACACATCACCCTAAAATAAGTACGCCCTTCTAAACACCTACAAATAAACATCCCACGCTTCATCTTAAAAGAAGAAACCTGGAGCGTTATCCTGAAACATGATACTCATACTGTAACTATGCCAATAAAGTTCAAAAAGCTTAAAAAAGAACACCAAACCCATGTTGTTTTATTCACTGACCAATTAAGAACACTCTGTGGGCATACAACAGTACTCTCTGTTTGCTGTCTTGTCTTCCCACTGTTGTTGACATATGCTGGGAAACTACTAAGACACAATAGATGTTTATCTGCATAATTATATCACAAATTTAGGCCACAATCTGAAACCTTAAGTGTTAACACCCAGGCATCGATTTAATTACTAACAATCTGAGAAATACTTTTACTGTTAAGAGGCTGGAAATTAAGCACGTGCTTAAGTGCTGGCAAGACCACAGCCTTGGGTATTATACAAGACATTAAATCACATTTAATTTGGTTTTGATGGATGCTTTATTGAGCTATTGTCATCCTCGGTAAGGGACGGTCTACGATTATGAGGACAATTCTGTAGGCTTTATGGTAATTCACTGAATGGCTGTGATTGATAAGGCTCGCTTAACGAGATTCTGATTAATTGCTCTTTGCATTCTGCCCCCTCCCCCCCCCCCCCCTAATTCGAAAGGGGAGGAAAAAAGGAACCATTACAAGTACAGGCACATTTCCATCTTCTTGGGGGAAGGGAAAGTGGGCTGGGAAAGGAAAGGAGAGAGGGCAACCAAGCAGAAGGATGACATATGAAGCGTACATTATTGAATGGCTCCATGATTTCTCTTGTGAATATTATCTCCATTTGACCAAACATTATTTAGGCTTAGGGTTAATAATACGTAACAGCAACAGGCATTACAGTAACCGATGCTGTAACTATGCCCAAAACATGCGCTAAAAACTCTGTAAAACTCACTGTTAAAGTTATATATCGAGAAGTCCAGGCTTCCAGGTAAGTGAAAATACCTAAAGCAGTCTTCATTTTGCCTTGAAGTGATACCATAAAATTATCACTACGTTTTAACATCATCTCAAAGCTGATTAGGTCTATTTTTAGACGCGGCTGTTTGTTTACGTTTTCTAAAAACAAATTTCCTTTCCTCGCCACATCATTTCCTGGCCGGGGCACGTTTGTTTTTAAGATGCTTATACCGTCTGTCCCCTGTCTTCTGCTCACCGACCACTGGCACAGGCACCAGCTCTGGGCTGAGGTGGCTGCTCGCCCGGGTATTTTGATGATTGTTGTTCTCCTGCTATTGTTCGGCACTGGTAACGGGTGAGATCCTAAGTATAACGCGGCGATTAAAGACAGGCAACAGCATG